ACATCAGCAATTCCACTTACAGAAATTTATTCTTAGAATATTGAAAGTAGGTACAAGCAAGTTCACTGAAGCATTGTTTCTAGTAAAAAAAAAAAAAGTTGAAGGCAACCTAAACGTCTATTGATAGTAAAGTGTTTGGCTCTAGCCAGTTTGGCTTCAGTGTATAGACCGTCGGCCTTCAGACTCAAGGGTCCCGGGTTTGATTCTGAAATGCGGCCGGGGGAAGCGAACGCTCACTTGCAAGGAGCCTACCACACAAGGTTCCCACCGTTCTGCGCATGCGCGCAGAGCCGTCGCTTGCTTGCGCGACCGCTTTCCCATTTCCGAAGAAAGTGAGGTTAGGTTTCCTTGGGAAGCAAAGGCACAATAAACTTTCACCAATGCATATGAGTTGCATTTAGAAGGCGGGATATGTGGTGCAAAACACCTAGACTAGGCTTCCCCAGGTGGAAGTTCCTCATTTGGGGATCCCAGGTTCCCCATCTCAAATGATTGATTCAGACTTCTTCAAAATCCTCCTAGGGCCAAGATTCTTTAGAAACAAGATGCCATTAAGGAATTCAATATCGAGCTCATAATGATATTGAGTACACATACTAGCGTTGTGTAGGAATAGCGAGGAGGAATCGAAACGTATATGATTAAGTATCTGCTCTCAAGGATTTGGTGATTTAGTTTCAAGGTTAAAATTCAAGTATTTAAATTTATTACAAAAGTAATTTGTGCATTATATATAGTCTGCTTTAAAATAAACAAATATAAACTAATGCAATTTAAACATGACCATATCTATTTAAAGAAATACAGATTTCAATCAGCATGTGCTGCTTCTATTAGAGAGATCAATCTTGAGAATAACAAAAAGTAAGCTATAATCCAATGAGGCAGGGGAATGCAAAGGCAGATGGAGGAAACCTTGGGTAGGTTTTCATAGAATTAGGCATGACCCTAGAACTGGGCCTTAACCATCTCGCAATAAATACATTAAAAATGTAAATTTGTGTACATACGTATGTACAATTTATATTTTTATATATGTACATAATTTTTTGATAGTTCAATTGATGTTTCTTTCATTTCAGATTTAACCCATTGGAATTAATATTCAAAGTGTGCATACATTTTTTTTTAGATACCCTGTATATATACTGTCACACAGGAACGGAGCAACACAGTCGAAAATGAAGCCCCTAATCCCATTCCCCTTCACCCAGAACTGCCTGGAGTGAGGCGGGGCTCAGAGTCTGATCAGGAGGCCTCCTGGATCCTCAGAGGTAGTGCCCTTAGCTCCTTGCTTGAGGATGTGTAAACCTGCTCCAGCAGTGGCACAAGTCCTGGTCCCTGGGTGTCCTGCTGTCCAGAGAAATCTTCAGCTTCTCCAGGTAGGAGTCCTAGGACCTCACCAGGTCAGGGGCACTCTGGTAGAACTCCACTACCAGCAGCATCTCATGAAGGATGTCATTAGTCAGGAAGCTGTCCTGGACATAGGCTACCTCCACCTCTGTGGGGATGCTGTAAGTCACTGGGACTTTGCCAGCAGGGACACCAGCTGGTTACTACCAGCCACTCCAAGCCTCCCAACCCATAACGCTCCATCCCACACACCAGGCCCTGCTGTGCATATTTAAAATTTTAAATAATGCAGGCTATTAAATAAACACTATTCCTAATTTTCCAGTGGCTATTTCATTTTAAACAATATGCTTTAAAAAAATCTATATATTCCTTGACCCATCAATTTGGAACATTTTCTCTTGATTCTCAACTATTTGAGATGAGAAATTTAGCACCTCACTTTCTTCCCCTCTCATACCGATACTGCACTCACCAAAAAACTGCTTGTTGTCTTCATAGTACTTGTTTCCATATTTGTCTTCCCCCACTAATGTACCAACCCTCACATCATTTGCCCTGTGAATACCCAAAAGAAAAGAGATAGTTTAGAAAGATTCTTTGTTCAAAACACAAACATAAGTAGAGAACACCGACTTTAAGAAACAAAGGCTGCTGCATCAATAAGAAAAAGGAGGAGAAGCTCGGGGAGGGACACTAGCATAGACTTCCAGCCTTCATCTCGAGGCTCACCCCGCCCACTGCTGAACACTCACCCCCAGGTGCAGCTCTAGAACTCACGCTCCTGTTGCCCCCAGTGCCACCTGAAGAGCACAAGGCGGGATAAACTGGCCCAGATGATATACCTAAACTGCACTAAATATAAAGATACAAATTACAAAACTCCTTTTATCTCCTATCAGAGGCACTGGAGTTAGTAAAAAACCCTCAGGAAATCAGGAAGCCAAAGTCTATCATCTTAAAATGATACGAATGTCCGAGCTGTCATTCGACTCGGGGTCTCCAACCGGCTTCCGCGGACGATGCTGCTAGTCGGATTCAGCGAATGTCAGGACTAGCAGAGGCCTTTACGATCACCTTGTGCAACGCCTTACCGCACAGAGGAGGAAACTGAAGGCCAATAAAGGGTAAAAAAGACCGTTCCCAAGGTCACACCGTGCGTGGTTAGCAACGCTCATTACGCTCCAGGAATCAGGGCCGGGGGCAGCCGAGATGCCCTCGCCTCCACGTCCCAGCCGTGTCTGGAGCTGGCTTTTGTCCTGTCTCTGGGAGACCCCGGGAAGAGACTATGGCCCGGGGGAAGAAAGGCAGAGATTGGGCCGGTTGTCCTTGACCAGAGCTGCGGTTTCTCCAAGGTGACCCAAGCCCGCGCCCCTTCCAAAAGCCCAGCCAGCTCAAGTCCAGCCCAGAGGCCGGGCGCATGGCTCCGCCGCCTACCTGAAGAGCATTCGCAGCCAGCCTCGGAGGCCGTTGTGGCCGCTGACCTGCTGCAGTCCTCGCCTGAGGACCTGCAGGAACTCCATCTTGCCCCGCAGGCCTGGCCTTCCGGGTGCGCTGCTCGAAATGCGGCCGGGGGAAGCGAACGCTCACTTGCAAGGAGCCTACCACACAAGGTTCCCACCGTTCTGCGCATGCGCGCAGAGCCGTCGCTTGCTTGCGCGACCGCTTTCCCATTTCCGAAGAAAGTGAGGTTAGGTTTCCTTGGGAAGCAAAGGCACAATAAACTTTCACCAATGCATATGAGTTGCATTTAGAAGGCGGGATATGTGGTGCAAAATACCTAGACTAGGCTTCCCCAGGTGGAAGTTCCTCATTTGGGGATCCCAGGTTCCCCATCTCAAATGATTGATTCAGACTTCTTCAAAATCCTCCTAGGGCCAAGATTCTTTAGAAACAAGATGCCATTAAGGAATTCAATATCGAGCTCATAATGATATTGAGTACACATACTAGCGTTGTGTAGGAATAGCGAGGAGGAATCGAAACGTATATGATTA